GGGGGGGGGGGGGCATGTTAATAGAAATTGGCTTCAAGCAACATCTATGGAAGCATGGAAGGACCTGGAGGGTATTATGGTGAATGAAGTATGTCAGACAGAGAAAGACAGATGTAATGTGATTTCACTTATATGTGGAATCTAAAGAACAAAATGAACAAACAAAACAGAAACAAACTCATATATACAGAGAACGTTTTGATGGTTGCCCAATGGGAGGGCGGTTAGGGGTGAGTGAAAAGGGGAAGGGATTAACAAGTACAAATTGGTTGTTACAAAATTGTCATAGGGATGGAAAATAAAGAAGGGATATAGTCAATGATATGGTAATAACTATCTACAGTGCTAGGTGGGTACTAGACTAGTCAGGGGGATCACTTCTTAAATTATATAAATGTCTAGCCACTGTGCTATACACCTTAAATTAATACAAAATACTATTAAATTTCCAGTGCAATAGAAAAATTTAAAAAGGGGGGGGAAGGTGAAGAGGAAATAAGAGGTTCAAATTTTCAGGTATAAAACAAATAAGTCATGGGAGGTAATGTACTGCATAGGGAATACAGTCAATAATATTGTGATAGCATGGTACGGTGTCAGATGGTTGCTGGACATAATGAAGGTGATCCCTTCTTTAGGTGTATAAATGTTGAATATGTATTGTGTACACCTGAAACTAATATTGTATGTTAGCTATATTTTAATAAAAACCTTTTTAAAAAATACATCTTTCTGTACTGATTTTCCAAAAACAGTTGATAATTCTTCATAATTTAGAATATGAAATTATATAATTGACTTTTTAAAAATATTCATTTTCTACTCCACTCACTCCATTGACAACATTTAATTTTGCTATATACAATATGTATTTTCTTTAGACATATTTATATATGGAAAAAACCTTATTTTACACACAGTGGCACCAAACTTAAACAAAAATAAAAATATTCAAATCTCATTTCTCCATTCTCCTTTGCTGGTCATTTGAAACCTATGTAACTTTACTAACCATTGTCACCCCAATAAACTGTAATTAAAAAAAAATTCAAACCTACCAGGGATTATGTTCTTTTTAAAAGGTTAATTTGTAGAATAACAAGGTAAATTACAGTTATTATGCACTTATATTTATTATTGGTGTGTAGAATATTTTTAAGATTTAAGTGTTACATGTACAAAGATATCCCTCACCCATTCTCTCTTCACAAAGTAGGCTTTTTTTTTACACTTCCTGAGAGAAGATGCGCAATCCCAAGAGGAATCCAGACTTCAAAATTTCTTAATACAGAGTATACCAGTGTCCTCCCAAAAGTTGAGTGACACCAAATACTTATCAATACTGATATAAGATATATGATATATTTACTCTAGGTTGCCCTTTTAATTAGAAATGGTATTTCCCCCTTAATACTCACACTTCACAAAGGTTTTACCTCCACCTACTTTCTGACAAGGCTATGTGGAACAGAGGAAGTTCCAGAAGAGAGACTTAAGTATTTTAGATGGTATTCCTCATTATGAACACGTGTCAAGGCAAATGTAAGAGTTGTTAATTCCGTATCCCATAAAAGATTGTCCTGTGAGACAAAATGTATATTCTCAATTTTTAAGAGAGATTGTTTAGGTGTCCTAACACGTTGATAGTCTTTAACAGCTGAATATGAAGAAAGGAACCTCACTCAGTTGGGATGTAATCACCATATGGATCCCATTCCTGTGGCAACTGGCAGTCAGGAAGTTGAAATGGAATGTCACTAAATTCTAATATGTGGAATAATTTCCTTTCAAAAACTAGTTTATATTGAGAGAACCAGGGTAGTTCTAGGGGATTGAGAAAGGGACAAAGGGAGCTGAAAGTTCAGTATGCCACATCATACTCTATGAATACAGTTTTCATGATAAGATACGGCCAACAAGACCTTCCTGAGAAATACCTACTCTACAAGAAATATTTTGTTAAACTACATTTGCGCTATATGGGGGATGGCCATTTCAGATGGGCAGTGAAAAATGACCAGTTGTGAACAATTTTTGAAAATCAAATTATTTACTTATGAATAAAGAAATTTTTGAATAGGGCAAACTAGATCACATTTCTGAAGACAAAATTATGGTCGAGTGCAGTTAGAGCACAAGATGTCAAATTTCTTAGATCATTTTTGAAAATTCAAAACCGATCCTTTAATTCCCACCAGAGAAGAGCTTGCTGACAAGAGCGAACGCCATGAATGAGAAAACAACTTAGGAAAATTAATGAAAGATGCCACATAACCAAGGTGATCAGATTTTAAAGGCCTTCGCTACAAAACAAACCACAAAACTGGTACCAAAAATGCGCACACAAGTGCGCGCTCACAAACAGAAACACACACACACACGTGTGAAATGTAAAAAAAAAACCCCAACCAACCACAGCGCGCGCACACACACACACACGCACACACACGCACGCACGGGCTGGGTGAGCAGTTAAGGCACCTTTGAAAGAAAAACCCAAGTGGCTCAGGCTTCCCCAACTGTGTCAAACAGCGCTATCAAGAAGCGACTTTCAAAGCTTCTGAAAAACGTGCAAATTGTCCGAAAACAGTGCCTCGCAACTGAGGCAGTTTGCAAGCGTGATTCAGAGGTCTGCCAAGGAAACAAAAGGAGCCTCCCTCCCCCGGAGAGCCCGCTGCACATGTCACCAGAGGTGCGCGGGCACTAGGTGTTCTAGGGCAGGCGGAAAGCAGAGAGGTCTGTGCAGCAGCGGTACATACTAGGGGTCGCTCCCCGGCACGGACAGGGCCACGGAGTTTCCACTGGTGGCGGAACCGTCCAGCTTTAGTTTCTCCAGGTATTCGGCATGCACGGGCTTGTGGTACTGGAGGACCTTGATCGCATCTTCGACTGTGAACCACTCTCGCTTCCTCCCAATGCTCACCGAGTCTTCCCAATCCTCTAGGATCTCAGTGACAGTCAGGACATACACGTACGTTCTGTGCTTGCGGTCTTGGTTCTGCTCGAAGACACCCAGGAGCCGGCCTAACTTCCCCTTGACTCCCGCCTCCTCGAACACCTCTCGGACCGCCGCGCTGCCCGGCTCCTCCTCGGGCTCCAAGCCCCCGCCCGGCACGATCCAGCGGTCCGGGTACCGACTGCTACTCACTAACAGCACCTCGTCCTCCCGCTCGCTCCGGAAGCACAGGCACGCCGCCCGCTTCTTGAAGCCCTCGGGGTCGTAGGTCCGCGTCTGGTTGGGCTTGCACTTCATCCTTCAGGCCGCCTGCGCCCGCGCTCGCTTCTGCTCGGGTCGCCGCTGCAGCCGCCGGCCGAGGTGCTGCGGAGAGAAAGGGGCTGCTGCGATGGGCAGAGAAAGAGTAGCGAGCGCCACGGCCCGCGAGCCGGCGCCTAAGAGAG